CCCACGTGACACTCACGTTCCGGGGACATCCGAATGCGAAGGCCTCTCCCGCCTCGGCTCGCAGACTCACTTGCGCCATCGAGAGCCGGACGGTCGCAGCGCATGGCACAACGGAGACATACTCCACCGCAACGCAAACCTCGCCGCCGGGATGCAACACGCACCCTCGCATGAATCGTCCTGTTAAGGACCCGATTCCAACCACGCAGACGCGGCCGGTAATATCTTACCGCGCCCGTCACCTTTCATTCGAAACTCGCGGCCTCACACTCTGCCGCGAATGCGCCGCTGGCGCACTCAAGTTACACACACACCTGTACATACATACTTTTCTCTGACAAAGAAATAAACACATTTCTACACAATTGACTCTATCTCACTTCTCACCAGTCGAACACAATCCATTAGGCCATACGCCTATAATTACATTAATTTGATAAACGGTATCTATTTCTTGTTCTAGTATACCTACACGACAAGAGTTAAAATTAAAATGGATCGATGCTATTGGAAAAGAAGTTTCCAAATATGCTTGTGTGTGCAATCAACATTTTAATAATAATGATATCATGTTTACTGGTATAATAAATGGAAATATACGAAGACACTTGCACTCTGAAGCTGTTCCTACTTTGCATCTAACGAATGAAAAGGAGATTGAATATGAGTGAGTTTTATTTTATTTCTGTTTTTTTTTAATTCTAATTTTACACACGTGTATAAGGATCATTAAGAAAAAGTTGTTTCAGTAAAACAAACATAGATTTTGTGAAACAAGTCTGTGCAGATAAAAAGAATCAACATGAAAATCATATATATCCTAATCATACAAGTGAATTACAAGAAATTGAAAATATAGCTGAAAAATATTAAGAATAAAATTAAATGTGATATGTGTCGCCAAAGTTTAGAGAGTAAGGAAAATAATTCTTTATTATTAAAAATAAAAAATAGAGGAGGGTTATTACTTCCTAGTCCACAAGTTATTACAATTTGTAAAGTTGCTGAACGTGTACTTAGACAATATAAAGATCTATTTACAGTTAAAAACTTAATGACTAGTCTTATACATTGTGCAAAACAATTGTTACCTGATGATATTTTTAATCATTTAGATGATATCTCTCAAAACAATGTTATTGATAATCATAAATCTCAATTAATATATAATATTTTACACAAATATTGTCATATAAGATTATATCATGAAGGTAGGAGATTACAAAATTCTACGAAAAGAATAAGAATTTTGCATAATCGATTAGTTATATTTGCTAATCAATAATTTTTATTTTATGAATGAATGCAGCTACTACAAAGAAATTTATTTATATTACACTATTTTAATTGATCATTAAATTTATTTTAATTTTTTATGTCTATGATATATATAATAATGTATTTTATTTTTAGTTTGGTTGTGTATGAGATCAAAATCTATTTTTTTTTTTGCAAAATGTACAATTTAATTCATTATTTTACCAGTACGTAGAGTTTATATGTACCAAAGAGTTTAAATAGTATATTTAATAAAATATCTTAAAAAATATTAAAAATGCTTTTTCAGCTCAATCTATGAAATATCTTATTTATTAAACTTATTAATATATTAACCTATTTTAGAAATCAATGCTTTATGTTTTAAATAATCCATTAAATCTTCAAATTTTTTAATTTTTTTATTTCTACGTCTAATTATTCTTTCTTTCTCCT